GTCCCAGTGCTTGTTCTAGCAACCTGGGGAAACTTGTCCCAGTGCTTTTTTCTAGCAACCTGGGGGAACGTTTGTCCCAGTGCTTTTTCGAGCAACCTGAGGGAAACGTTGTCCCATGTGCTTGATTCTAGCAACCTGGGGGAAACGTTTGTCCCATTGCTTGTTCGCAACCTGGTGTGAAACATTGTCCCCAGTGCTGTTTCTAGCAACCTGGGGGAAACGTTGTCCCAGTGCTTGTTCTAGCAACCTGGGGGAAACGTTGTCCCAGTGCTTGTTCTAGCAACCTGGGGGAAAAGTTGTCCCAGTGCTTGTTCTAGCAACCTGGGGGAAACGTTGTCCCAGTGCTTGTTCTAGGCAACCTGGGGAAATAGATTGTCCCAGTTGCTTGTTTCTAGCAACGCTGGGGAAACGTTGTCCCAGTGCTTGTTCTAGCAAACCTGGGTAATCGTGTACAAGTGCTGTTCTAGCAACCTGGGGGAAACGTTTGTGCCTTAAAGTGCTTGTTCTAGCAACCTGGGGGAAACGTTGTCCCAGTGCTTGTTCTAGCAACCTGGGGGAAACGTTGTCCCAGTTCTTGTTCTAGCAACCTGGGGGAAACGTTAGTCCCAGGCGTGTTCCTAGCAACCGGGGAACGTTGGACCCAGTGCTTGTTCTAGCAACCTGGGGGTAAACGTGTCCCAGTGCTTGTTCTACAACCTGGGGGAAACGTTGTCCCAGGTTTGTTTCAGAAACCTGGGGGAAAAGTTGTCCCAGTGCTTGTTCTAGCAACCTGGGGGAAACGTTGTCCCAGTGCTTGTTCTAGCAACCTGGGGGAAACGTTGTCCCAGTGCTTGTTCTAGCAACCTTGGGGGAAAATTTGTCCCAGTGCTTGTTCTAGCAACCTGGGGGAAAAGTTTTCCCAGTGCTTGTTCTAGCAACCTGGGGGAAACGTTGTCCCAGTGTGTGTTCTAGCAACCTGGGGGAAACGTTGTCCCAGTCTTTGTTCTAGGGCACTTTGGGGAAACGTTGTCCCAGTGCTTGTTCTAGCACCTTGGAAACGTTTGCCCCAGTGCTTAGTCTACAACCTGGTGAAACGTTGTCCCAGTGCTTTTATCTACACCTGGGGGAAACGTTGTCCCAGTGCTTGTCTAGCAACCTGGGGGGAAACGTTTGTCCTAACAAAAAAAAAGTGCTTGTTCTAGCAACCGGGGGAAACGTGTCCAGTGCTGTTCAGCAACCTGGGTGAAACGTTGTCCCAGTGCTTGTTTCAGCTCCTGGGGGAAACGTTGTCCCAGTGCTTGTTCTAGCAACCTGGGGGAAACGTTGTCCCAGTGCTTGTTCTAGCAACCTGGGGGAAACGTTGTCCCAGTGCTTGTTCTAGCAACCTGGGGGAAACGTTGTCCCAGTGCTTGTTCTAGCAACCTGGGGGAAAAGTTGTCCCAGTGCTTGTTCTAGCAACCTGGGGGAAACGTTGTCCCAGTGCTTGTTCTAGCAACCTGGGGGAAACGTTGTCCCAGTGCTTGTTCTAGCAACCTGGGGGAAACGTTGTCCCAGTGCTTGTTCTAGCAACCTGGGGGAAACGTTTTGTCCCATTGCTTGTTCTATCAACCTGGGGGAAACTTTGTCCCAGTGGCTTGTTTCTAGCAACTGGGGGAAACGTTGCCCAGTGCGTGTTCTAGCACCTGGGGAAACTTGTCCCAGTGCTTGTTCTAGAACCTGGGGAAAAAGTTGTCCCAGTGCTTGTTCTAGCAACCTGGAGAAACGTTGTCCCAGTGCTTGTTCTAGCAACCTGGGGGAAACGTTGTCCCAGTGCTTGTTCTAGCAACCTGGGGGAAAACGTTGTCCCAGTGCTTGTTCTAGCAACCTGGGGGAAACGTTGTCCCAGTGCTTGTTCTAGCAACCTGGGGGAAACGTTGTCCAAGTGCTTGTTCTAGCAACCTGGGGGAAACGTTGTCCCAGTGCTTGTTCTAGCAACCTGGGGGAAAAGTTGTCCCAGTGCTTGTTCTAGCAACCTGGGGGAAACGTTGTCCCAGTGCTTGTTCTAGCAACCTGGGGGAAACGTTGTCCCAGTGCTTGTTCTAGCAACCTGGGGGAAACTTGTCCAGTTGCTTGTTCTAGCAACCTGGGGAAACGTTGTTTCCAGTGCTTGTTCTAGCAACCTGGGAAACGTTGTCCCAATGCTTGTTCTAGCAACCTGGGGAAACGTTGTCCCAGTGCTTGTTCTAGCAACCTGGGGGAAACGTTGTCCCAGTGCTTGTTCTAGCAACCTGGGGAAAACGTTGTCCCAGTGCTTGTTCTAGCAACCTGGGGGAAACGTTTTGAGTACCATCTGTTTTTTTCCTCAAGAGCTGAGGTGACTTTACGAGTACATGTACAATGTCTGTTGAAAATTATGTTTTCAGCACTTAGATATGCATGCATGTGTGTGTGTGTGTGTGTGTGTGTGTGTGTGTGTGTGTGTGTGTGTGTGTGTGTGTGGTGTGTGTGTGTGTGTGTGTGTGTGTGTGTGTGTACCTTTGTGTGCGTGTACTTTTGTGTGCGTGTACCTGTGTTTAACTCTTTGTACGTAAATATACCTTTATGTACGTGTAAGTGCATGTACCTATGTGTGTGTGCGTATACCTGTATGTGAGTTTTTCTATACTTGGTGGCCAAGGGAATATGATAATGAGTCTGCATAGCGGGCAAGTTTAGGGATATTAGAGTTGCCTTCCCCTCCCCCCTCTCTCTTTCTCTCTCTCTCATTCTCTCTCTCTCTCTTTAATACAGATTATCTAATTGAGGTTAGAATCCGAGTTCCTGTCGTTCTTTCACCACAGCAATTATGCAACCTCAGCTCATTTTAAAGCCTGATTCTGGCCAAAACTGTTAGACTTATCATTTATTATTGCATTTCTGTGCAACGATAAGCTCGTGAGGATCATTCAACGCAAAGAGTGGTGGAGGCTCGATCCTCGTTCCTTTAATCACGAGACAATCTCGCGGTTCTCACTGCCACATGAAACTTAGGTTTGAAATAAGAGCCAGTTCTAGGCTTGATATTTCATCTAGTTACTTGAGTTGAGTTATCTTATGTCCGTATCGTGTTAGAATCTGTTCTAAACGCGTGTCATTGGAAGATTCGAGAGGTGCTAAATCCGCGTGGGTCATAGACCGCAAATAGTATGTCACATAATCGGATTTGGTCACATGAAGGGAAGGATAGCTTAAATATTTTGGGATCAAGAGCCCTTCACGCCGACGGATATTCCTGAGCAATGTACATCTGAGTGACTTGGTGGCTGCCCGTCATGTGGGATAATTGCTGCCTTTGAATTTTCCACGAACGTGGCCAGGTGGGGGACTTTGAGAACATTTGCTTTTTACATAACATCAAGACGAGCAATATCTGTCGATTGACGAAAAATCCAAGAAAGCTGCGTCGAGGCAATAAGTGAATCATCTTAAACGGTCCTCCATGTTGGCCGGAAGTCTGAGATGGAATAAGGGACAGGCAATCCAAGATCACTAGTGATATATACTCAAGGCTCTCGGCAACTTATGTCTCATACAGAGTTTTTTCTGATTCTGCTATGGAGAAAGTACTGAATGTTCCTTAGTCTCACGAAGACTGTATATTGATGTCCAGTCCCTGGACTTGATACTGCCTATGTAATTTTTTGACTATCGCTTACAGAATGACTCTGGGATATATAATAAAACTATTTAACTAAACTGATTGCTAAGCACTAAGTATCTTGTATTAATTTTTTTGCACTACCTGGAGAACAATATTATTTGAGTTTTCTTAGAAATAAATGCAGTCTGCTATTGATTGTCCCGGGTCGGCGTAGGTAGTCAGGTAGCTGAAGTAAATATTGAAAAGACGTGAACCATGCACAACCCCTTGTGGTACGCCAGCCTGTCCTTATTTACTACTTCACTTTCTTCTGACACCGTCCACGTCAGTTTCTTAATGCTTATATTTATAATCCTATTTTCCCTATTTTAACTTAGGTTGGGTTAACTTAGGTTAAGTTGGGTTATATTAGGCTATAAAACGTATATTAAACTTAGAATTAAGTAAATTAAAAATAAAAGCCACATTGCGCCTTATGACGAGGTAGCCTAGAAAAAAAATGGACAACGCTCAAATTTATGCTTATATTATTCGTGGTGCGAGAATGCTCGAATACACTCACACTGAACGAGTGGCCTACAGACGCTGCTCCAGTAATTAAAAACTATCCTGAGAGACTGACCTGGAAGATGGTAGTACCTTGTTCTTCTGGAAAAGATGTCTTCCGACGCGACTCTTAAAACATGATGACCCACGCGGTGTTTAAAGAACCATGAGTGTGCCTGTGATTGGCTTCCGCCCCATTAAAACGAAATAACATATTTTGCCCATGTATTGTATACTTGAAGGCAGCCACTCGTACGTTAGTCTTCAAGGTAGTCACTCGTACGTTAGTCTTCAAGGTAGTCACTCGTATGTTATTCTTCAAGGTAGCCACTCGTACGTTAGTCTTCAAGGCAGTCACTCGTACGTTAGTCTTCAAGGAAGCCACTCGTACGTTAGTCTTCAAGGTAGTCACTCGTATGTTATTCAAGGTAGTCACTCGTGTGTTATTCTCCAAGGTAGTCATATGTTATTCTTAAGGATAGTCACTCAGATGTTATCCTTGAAGGTAGTCACTGATATGTTGTCCTTGAAGGCTGTCTCTCAAATGTTATTCTTGAAAATAGTCACTAATGTTATCATTAGAGGTATTCACTAATATGTTATCACTGCAGGTTGTAAAGTGGACCCAGAGATTCCTAGAGCTGTTTGCTGGTACATCTCACTGTCATGAAGGTGGTAGTTTCTACCCCTCCTCATCCTCCAACTAGTGGCCCATAACACCTTTCCAGTTGCAACGCACGGGCTGGCGTTGCTCTCCATCCTTCCTCAACTGGCGCAGGGAACAGTGGTGTTGGTCTCCATCCCTTCCAATCCTTGAACCAGCGGACTCTTAACGCCTTTCTTGGTTGAGTTTCAG